TACAGTAGTCTTATATAAAAGAAAAAAAAATAAAAAAGCTTCTACAAAACAAAAGGCTGAGCCAATCAGAAAGGCTCCATACAGAAATCCTTGTAATAGAGTACAGAACTCCAAAAACTAAATCTGTATCACTACTCAATTTTTTTCATGACCAATTACATCAAATTTAAAATAGCAACTCTTAATGTAAAAGGGTTGAACAATCAACAAAAACAATGGAACACTCTAACTCTTTTAAAATTATACAAACTAGACCTAATCATGTTACAAGAAAGAAATTTAAATGACAAAAGTACTTAAAACTTTCTTAAAAACCAATGGATGTTAACTCTATCTGGACAAACAAAACAGCTATACTTGTAGGCAACAAGGATATAACCTTTAAAAACATTGAATTAGATCTAAATAATAAAATAATCACCACTAACTTTAAGTACAAAGAGCTTACATTTCAAGTCTCCAACATATATGCTTCACTAAGCCCAGAAGACAGAAAACTCTTTTTTAAAAGATGGTCTTCTTGCATTAAAGAAAATGCTATTAACATTATCAGAGATGACTTTAATACTAATCTCTATCCAGAAAGAGATAGAATTAGTGAGGCAGCTCTACAACAGGACACTACAAAAACACAACTTCAAGATCTCACCAAAAATTTTTTTGATTCCTTTAACTTTGCAAAGACAAAACCTTTTTATACCTTCTTCCAAAAAACTCAAGGCAATCGTACCATGGCTACACATTTGGACTATATCTTTATCTATGAAAACAATGCTCATCTAATCTCAGAAGTTAGTACAAAATTTGGAAACTCAGACCATCTGCTGATCAAGTGTACTCTAAACTTTAACTCTAAAGGAAAAGAAGCTGTCCTTTGGAGGTTTGACAAAAACTGTTTTAAGAATGAAAGACTTAAAAAAGAAATATTAGATGAAATATTAGATATAGAAAATACAGAAGATTGGAACTTTTACAAAGTACAAATACAATCTATTATTAGAGCCTTTAGAAAACCAAGAGCAACAGAAAACAAAATTACAAAACTAAACAAAAACATTACTTAACTAAAAGAAAAACTAGCACATAATCCTGAAAACAACTACCTATACTCACAAATTGATATGCTAAACTCAAATCTTCAAGAAGAACTATCTCAATTTGCTGAAAAATGACAAACCTGTTCTAAAGCTCAATGGATTGAACAAGGTAAAAAATCTACAAAATTCTTCTTTGCCAGATATAAAACAAGAAAAGCTAGTTCTGCATTAAAGGACATCAAAGATCCTGAAGCATTATAACAAACAAGAGAAAACACTCTTTGCTATATAAAAGAAAAATATGCAGAAATTTATAAAAAATAAGATATAGATATCAGCTCAGCAGGAAAAATTACTGAAAACTTGCCACAAGTCTCTTCTGCACATAACTTGTCTCTTATACAAGAAATTATATAAGAAGAAATCAGCAACATTATTAAAAATCTTTCAAACAATAAGGCTTCTGGCACAGATAGACTAACATATGAGTTTTATAAACTTACTGAAAAAGTAATTACACCAGTTCTATATGGTGTTTTTAATTATGCTCTCAACTCTGGAGTCATGCCAACTACTTGGTGTAAAAGTTTAATCTCACTAATACCTAAAAAAGCAGAAAATCTCAAAAAGATAAATAACTGGAGACCAATATCACTAGTTAACAGTGATGCCAAAATTTTTATGAAGATTCTGGTCAATTGTTTCAATCATATATATGAAAAGATAGTACCTCACCAACAACATGGATTTATTAAAAACAGATCTATTACTGATGCAGCTCTCGATATTATTACTATTTTGCAAAACCAATCAGATCCTTCTAAACAATATTGGTTACTTTTTATAGATCAACAAAAAGCATTTGATTGCATCAATCATGAGTTTTTAGAACTAACTTTGAAGAACATGAACTTTGATCACAAATTTATAAGCTTAGTGCATAACCTCTTCACTAATTAAGAAGCTCACATTATAGATGCTGGAGTTATTTCTAAACCTCTTAGAGTAGAAAGAGGCATTAGACAAAAAGATCCTCTTTTCCTACTTCTTTATATACTAGCCTTCGAACCTCTTATAAGAAACCTAAAAAAACATCTACAGAGTATAAAACTAGAGAATCAGTTTTTTAAAACTTTTGCTTATGCAGATAATTTAACAATAGGAATTGGATCACCTACAGACTGGAACAAAACTATAGCAGCACTAAACCTTTATGAGGCAGCCTAAAATGCAAAAATTAACAGAACTAAAACTAAATTAGTTTCTCTCATAGCTGTAGCTCGACATGTAGAGCTTACTAATAAAAGCCAATTTATCAAATTGAAAGAACAAGAAAATATCATTATTTTGGGCTATAACATTCTTACTAATAGACAACTGAAAAAAGATCTTTAGGCCACTACTATTAACAAGCTAAAAAAATCTCTAGACAAGCTTCTAAACAGAAACCTCTCCTTTAAAGAGAAAATTTTAATTGCAAAGTCACTTATCTTATCTAAAGTTTGGTACTCAGCATATCTGCTACCTCCAAACAGAAAGCAAGTAGCAGAAATTAATCGAATTATAACTCTTTAGATCAAGGATACATCAAGAATACTTTCCAGATACTCAGTCTTTCAGCAATCAACAGAATTAGTAGATCTTCAAGTCTCAGTAATTAAAGATATGCTAGATGCCTGCTTAATAACAGTTTAGATAAGACTTCTTACATCCAACACCATGTGGGTAATATATGAAAGAAATAAAATACAGTTGATTCTCAGTGATAGAAGAAACATTTTTCCTAGTCAGGCTCTAAATACTGGCAGAACAAGCTCAAAAGCCTAACCTTTAGAATGGAAACCCTACTTAAAGGTCTAGGCAAAAATCAAGAACAAGGTTCCTTCTATTTCTAACTGGCCTTAGAATTATAATAAAATTAGAATTGAAAAAATTAAAGAAAATAAACTCTCAGTAAAAAAAACCTTGAAACTCTTAAGGGAATCTTTACTTCTATTATCTATAATACAAACACCTTCGCAAATACTTCAACCTAACTGGCTCTCTTAAAGTCTGTTTATAATAAGAAAAAAGATATTTTTTGACATCTTTTTCACAGAGCACTTCCACTAGATTATTGTTTAAGACATATTAGATCTTCAGAAACAGGAAACTGTATTTGATGTTCAGAAGAGACTCAAACTATAAAACACTTTGCTTTAGAATGCCCTCATAGTAAAATAATCTAAAAGAAAGCATACAGTTTTCTTAATATTAATAAGAAAATATCTTTACTATTCTCATTTGAGGATATATTTCAAGCCTCTAACAATACTTGTTCTCAGGCTATAACAGCTCTAATCTGGTTACACATTAATGTGATTTATGAAATATAGTACCACTACACTTCTGTAAAATGAAAAAATTTAGATACACCTCTTATCTCCTTAAACTCTCTTACTAGAAATCACATTTCAAAAGAAATACGAATTCTAAAAAACAAAACTTTTAGTATTAAATCTAAATCTTTTAAAATAATATGTAAATATTTAAAAAGTAACTAAGTCATTAGTAATACCTTAATAAAAGAGTGCCACCTGTGCCCCTAGTTGTAATGACAACAGGGATATTCCAAAAAAAAAAAAAAAAATTTTTTTAATAATTTAACCTATATGCTGCTTCTAGTATTGTTACCAAAATGTTGCAATTATATAAAAGCCAAAAATTCTTTAAAGTTCATTTAGATTAGAGTTAAGATTTATGCTAATGTTAAAATTAAAAGGTTTAATAATAAAACATTCAAAAAAAACTTTTTGTTAATTGGTTTCTTATGTTGCATTTTGAGAAATAAACGATTTTTAACAAAGCAAATGAATGTTTTGAATTTTTCTAATTGTGTAACGTTCAACCTGGTCTTAAAACTGATTTGTTTATGCCACAAATATTTCACGTGACTGCAACATTTTGGTGACGATACTGGCCGTTTTCAAATTTTTGTGGCATGGACAAATCAGATTACAAGATCAAGAAACTACCTTTATATAGTCTCTAACAAAAAGGTTTCCTTAAGCGATTTTACTTTTAAAATTAAATTATTTATGTTGGATTCAATTGTGATGGATATAATCCCTCACCAGTTTTAATATATGTGTAACATTAACGGTATCAGCCGTACTAACCCTAATTAGCATAGATCCTAACCTAAACGAACTTTAAAGAATTTTCGGTTCTCACGTGACTGAAAGTTTTTCGGAGAAGATAATCATTTCCGACCCCCATGACCAAATTCTAAAGTTCATAGAATTCAAAAAACATCAAATTTGGTCAGATGGTTGTCGAGACAATTAAAGCATTTATATTTATATTATAATTAAAAATAAGCCAAACTATTTAAAAAAAGTTTTACTGTTTGCTTATCTATGATTGCACAAAATACTATATGCAAAATCGCTAAATTTCGTAGTCTTATTAGATAAAATGTTGTATTTTTTATTCAGCAAAATAAATGTTATACATTTTATAAAACAGAATTTTTTTTTATAATTTGAAATCATTTCACGCAAAATCACCATGACCCTACCCTATGATTTTAGATGTTTAAATGAATAGTAATAATCTAGCGCTAGTTACAAATTATATATAGATAAGTCACGTAGAAATTAGTTAACATCTAAAAAATTCGTATTATATATTACTGGAAACCAAATCCTGTCGTTCCCTCCGAAATTGCTAATAATAATTGTGACCTTAACTGCTCGTAATCTTCATATTCAGGAATATCCAATTGATTAAAGCTATTTATAACGATACAATAATAAGTTATTATTAATCTTTCATAATGTTGTATAATATTGCATCGGGTCAAAACTTACCATGTATGGGCAGAAGGGAGTCGATCTGGGCTTGAGAAATCTTTATGAATTTGAAACTTTTGAACTCCATGAACACCTTGTAAAGCCGAGAAGCCTTCTAACGGTACCTTAGATGTACCTGTAACGAATTGCAAAAGCTTTGCCCTCTCTTCTTGATCAAAGCTCCGTACAGCTCTCCAGAACCATTGTATTTGAGGCGATGAAGCAGTATAATTTTGATATTCTGTATTATTTTTCCAATCATCAATATCAATATCTGGCATTCCTGATATAAGAAGTTCTAATTCTTGCTCATTAAATATGCTGATCAAATGTGCAGGAATAATTTCATGGAAGCCAGCAAGAAAATTCTCTATTTGGTCTTTGATAGCCAATGTAAGTCTTTGTTCTGTAACAAGCATAACATACTCTCGTTTATTTTCATCTGTCACTGAAATATTTCTACCATTAGGTTTCAAATCAATAATTTTCTCTTCACCATAATCGTTAGTTACAACACTAAATGTTAGGTCAATAATGTTAGTTATATCGTTATTCAACATCCATACAAGACTGTTGTAATACTCCAAGTCAATGGCTTCGACATCTCGGTAGTCAACAGGTTTACCAAGAATATGTTTATAGAATGAACGAGTAAAATAAGCATCCAAAAGTCTGCCGTCATAAATGGCTTTGCCAATAACACGTCCAACAAACTTAAAGAATAATAAATGTTCTGGATTTGCATTTGATGCCCTATTTGGCTGATAAGTTAATCTATCTGCTGCCGAAGTCTTAAACAATGCATAATTTTCGTTAAACATTTGTCTAGCGAGAACTTGGAACCATTCTCTCGTCACACCACCAGCATCTACACCTTCTTCCTCGTAGAAACGAACACTAAGTTTACCATATTTAATTTCGTCTCCTGTTCTTCTTTGTAAGTTTTGATAGGAATCTTCAAATACATACTGTCTACGAACGTTGAGTTGTAAAGTGCCATAATGATCACGAGTGTTTGTTCGTTTATGAAGTTGTTGATTGAAATAATTTCGTTTGTTGTCAAATTCAAGAATTTTTGGATTATGTACAAGTAACGAGAAAGAACCGCTCATTAATGATGGATTGTTCCGGACCATTGTATTAAGAATCTTTCGATGATCTTCAGTGAACGTGAAGAATAATTCTTCCATACTTTCCGATGTTGCTTGAGATTCTGATGATGTCATCTTTTGAGTAGAAGGTGCCATTCCCACATATTTACATACAACCATGAGAGACTCTATGAGTGGCAAGAGAACAGTTGCCACGTGAATCATGTCAGGTTTTTCATGTATGGTGGTCAAACATTTGCCGAGTTTTTTCCAAAGTTCTGTGAAATTAAGGCTATCATAAATCCTCATAACTTTTTCTTCATCTTCAGTGAGTTTAGAGCCTCTGCCACCATCCAATAACGTTCTTGGCGCCACAACATCAACTTCATCCGGATCTACCGTCGGAGCCAATGACACTTGAGCGTTTGTTGATGTATTAGTTGTTGATTGTTGCTTGCGGGAATACATATAATCGATAGTCTTTAGAACACGTAACAATTTTGCTTGTTGTGATGATGATGGTGAAAATTTGGCCAAAGTAACACCTTGTACATCAACGCCAGTGTCCGCATGTTGTAAAATTTGAGCCAATTCATCCAGATCATCAAGTATATCATTTCCAAGTGATTGAGCACGGTCAACTAATTCTGACGTAATAACATCACGGGCTCCATTTAAAGTTGAAAGATGTTGAATGACTGACAGCGTATATTTAAACGTGTTACTTGTGCATTCGCCAGCAGTAAGAACATTAACTACAAGGCGCAAACAATAATCAGGTATAACTGGAGGTTTAAGAGCAGGTTGAGCAGGTTCTGAAGACGTCGAAGCTGTCGTTGGATTCCGGGAAGCTTCGCTTGCAGAAGCTCCTGAAGATGTATTATTATTGGTCTCTGAGTTCACATTATTCTGTGGCGGATCATTATTTGTCTCTGCAGCCTGAGTTGAATTATTATTATTATTATTATTATTATCATTGTCCTGGTTACCATCAGATTGCGCTGAATTATTATTTTGGTTATCTGATCCAGTAGATTGACCAGAATGATTCTCAGTACTAGTGCTTTGTATCACAGGGCCATTGCTATTGTCATTTGACTGTCCACCGGAGTCTCCAGCAGCATTGTTGGAATCTTTCTTTGTCAATGTAGATAAAGGACGCAAAACGAACGAAAGTAAATGCATTAACTGATCCATTAATGCAGTATTTTTAATAAACACTTGACGATCGAGTAAACTTAGTAGTATCACTACCGGATATTTGCTTAGTGTTTTTGCTTGTTTCTCTTTACCTTTTCGGCTATTAGATCTTTTAAGACCAATGCTATTATCGTGTTCCATCAAAAAATACGTAACTGAGGCTTCGTTATATGTTACAATGTATGTTAGCGCTTCTAAACATCTCTGTGCAATTAAATTGGGTACATTTTCTCCGGCAGCCTGAGTTATTTGTGCTAGTGAAGAATTTGGAAGACTTGATTGTCTTCTTGGTGTTCCCTTCAGCGTTCCTTTAGTCTTTAAAGACATTTGCGCAAAACTTTTGTCGACCGCGGAAACGTCACCGCTACCATCAAAAAGAACGGATAATAACATGGAAATTAGTTCACCACGCGTCTTGCTATTCTCACAAAGATTAAGTAATAATTTATGTAACAAATTTTTATTTCCTAAAGGTTGAGGAAGAAATAATAGTCTAACTAAAGTAGCTAATCCAGAGGTATCTACAAGTTTTACCGCATCACGTTGGATTGAAGGCTTTTTAGAAACTTGAATTTGAGGTGCAGTTAATGTCCTTGATCGTACTGCATTTGTATATCGACGACTAGCTCTTTCTCGCAGCGCATTGGCCTCTGCAACTATTGCTGGTGGTAATGATGCCAGGACCATCTCGTCCTGTTCAAGAAGAACTGTTTGTCGTAATTGTGGATCTAAAGAAGCGAAAAAACTTGCAGTATCCATTTCAACAGCAGCAGGTTCCGAAGTCCGTTGACGAATCATTCTTTCTTGCTCGAATGCTTCTTCCTGTTGAATTATTTCTTCCCTGAGATCGTCTGGAAGAGCAGCAAGAAATTCAGGGCTAATAGCATCACCAGTTCCACTAGTAACTGGTGGTCTATTACGCCTTTCAGGTGGCAAATGTTGGTTAAGTACCTCCTCTCTAAGATCGTCAGGCAACGCTTCGAGGAAGGTTGGGTCTATACCAGTATCGGTAATGTCCACAGGACGACCGTTAACAATAACTGTAGTTCTTGTTGATTGACTTTCACTTGAGCCTTCAATTGTATCTTCAGCTGCTTCTTGGGTTTGGCTAGTATCTGGAACCACTGATGGTCCTTCATCCATATTAAGATCAGTCGTAACTGGAGCAGGTTCATCTTCCATTTCTATAGATTCCCCTGAATGTTCTCGCTCTTGTTCGATTATTGGTGCATCTTCTTGCATAGGATCAATAAGTTCGATCACTTCGGTAACTTCAGTTACTTCAGTTACTTCAACTATTTCATCATTATTGGTTATTGTATCAGACATCGATTGATCAGCTATAGTTTCCGGTTGAGGAACAACTGTAGAAGCCGCAACTACTTCTTCAGCTTCTCTTAATTCTCGCTCTTTTCTTAGTCGTTCAGCTTCCTCTTCAGCCTTTATTCTTTCCTCTTCCTCACGAAGTCTCCTTTCTTCCCTTTCTCTTTCCTCCTTTTCTTTTCTCTTCCTTTCTTCTTCTATTCTCTTTTTTTCTTCCTCCAACGCATAAGGAACCAATGCATTATAAATGTGATTAACAAGTTTTGCGGATTTTTCTGCTACTGTACTTCCATACATCATGCGTGCTTCGTCGTACCATCGTTGCCCAGTTGAATGAGGTTTAAATTCTTGAACTGCAGTTATAGGATCACTTGGCGGTGATATATTCTGATTTTCTTGTCCGCTGGATATTGTTCTTGGAAAAACACGATCAACTTCAATGCCGCTTACTAGGCCCGACGATCCAGTATTTAATTCAAGTCTATATGTAGAAGAATGTCCTAAACCTCGACTTCTAGTTAATAATTGTTCTAATAATTGAACCGCACCACCACCGATTAATTCTTCGATTGACTGTGTCCAATCACCCAAAGGTCCATTTCGAACACTACGTCCCCGAGTAAGTTCAACGCTAGCAACAGAAGGAACGGTTGGAGATCGATTAACGAGTAGAGGGTGTGTAGTAACATCATCATTAGTGTCTGGTAGTGTTCTGTTACTGCGCCATAATCCTGAATTATCTACATCATCATTTGTTCCAAAATTAAAGCCGTAACCTACAGGATCACCGATAACATAATCGAGACCCTCTGGTGGAACTTCAAGAATAGCTCGACGACCAGGCATATGCCTGTGACGTCTGTTGCCAAAGCTAAACAAGGCACGACCAGTTCTGTTTGGAATACCAAAATCGTCATCGTTCATGAAATGCGTTCCAGGCTGATTCCAAGCCCAGTTGAAGTTTATACGATCATAACCATCATCGATTACATCTCCATTATCTAATACAACATCGTTTTCTTCAACATCGTCAGCTTCGTCGTCGTCATCTTCCTCTTCATCATCATCATCTTCATCGTCATCTTCATCAAGCATAATATCTCTATCTGCGCCATCGTCATTGCCACCAAATCGGTCATGTCGACGGTGTCTATGGAGTTGTCCTTCAGCATCAATAATTTCTTCGACAATATCGCCACGTTCTATCATCACTTGATCATGAACATCCCACATTTCCTGGTCGTCGTTACCTCTAACGTGATGATGTCCTTCATCGTCACTATCATCATCATTTTCTAAATGTTGGTTCACTCCATGTTCAATTTCAGAATCATGATCATCGTTCCTTTCATTATCCAATACAACCGGGTGACCATGGATCGGTTGTCGAACTACTATTTCTACATCCATGTCGTCACCATTGTCATCATCCCCTTCATCTAAATCGTCATCATTGCTAACATCGCTAAGATCACTACCGGTTCCTTCATCAAAATCACCATCGTCATACCTTTGTTCATCAACTGACGAGTCTAAACTATCATCATCCATTTCATCGCTATCCACTCTGCCTTCAAGAGCTCCAAGCACCGAGGTAGCGTACAAATCAGGTGCATCCTCAGTTTCCGGATTCATTTCATCTGCAGATGGTGTGGATATGGATGAAATACTGTCACGACGTTGTTGCTCTTTATTAGGAGCTTCAGGAGATCGACCCAGTTTAATAGCAACTTTCGTAAGACATTCAAAAGGTTTTAATAAAGCGTTTATCAAAATTCTCGCTGAAGGATAATTGAGATCAACTTCGGCGAGTGCATCAGTTAAAGTGTTCACAAAATTTTTATCCAGCATTATTTTGGCGATACTGGCGGGACCATCTTCAATTGGTTTGTTGGCAGTGGCGTTAGGACCTGTACGTGAATTAAGTATTGCATAGCATAACTCCGCCAAAGACAATAGTCTTCCATATTTTGATTCAATTGGATCTGATGAAGAAATCGCAGTTTTAAACGATTTAATTATACAATCCAAACCAAATTTTCGTACTTGTATTATTTCAGGCTGTGGTTTCTTATCATCTACTTCGCTACCAACATTAGAACATAATGCCACAAGAGCAGATGTTGTCCATTTTGATTGTCCATAACGTTTCCGCATCTCGATATTAGTAGATGGTGTTATACAACCGTACGGTAATAATTCATTCAGGAGATAATACAAAAGAGAAGTTTTTGATTTCGATTGGGTACTAGATCCCATGCTGTTTCTGCGACGTGAAAGGTTCACAACTTCAATTTTACATGATGGATACGAAGATAGAAGTTCAGTTAAGCATTGAAGTAGGAAACATCGATACAGATAATCCAAATGTTCCTCAGATTTAAATACAGGCTGTGGAGTGTTAATACTATTTGTAGATGTCGAGGTGGTTGCGGAAGAATTAACATTTTCATTTCGATCGTTTGAATTAGTTTCAGACAGTTTTACATCCAAAGTTTGATTAGCTTGCACACGAGTTGCGACCAATTCATTTGCAATAAATTGAACGATGCTTTCAGCCGTTTCTGAACCAAATGAAAATTTTTTTGGGGATCCAAGTGAAGTAGAAGTCGACGGTGGCGGTAATGTATCTGTCATCTCTTCTTCATTGATGGTTGTATCTTTAGTCGTAGCAGTACTAATATCTTCCGTATCTGTTTTAATTAATGCGATTTGTTGATTACGTCCGCTAGAATCGTATCTTGCTAATTTGATGAGCTTTTTAGTGGAGTGAATAAATATTTCTGGTGCCCGTAAAGCAAATTGTGCATTGTTTCTTAAATATGCATTAATATCACCTCCTCGTGGGCGTGGATTGGCGAACCAATTTTTGATTTCTTTATCGATAATTGATTCCAAAACTGAAGCATCTTCAAGGGCATGCCGTAATATCATGACAATGAATATCTGCTGTCCACGGAAATCATGGGCCCGCGACTTAAATGCATTGAAAAGTAAATTCAGGCCATCCTTGTTTACAAACTCAATAGCATCCGAATGACGACGAGTAAGACGAACCACTATCCTAAGTAATGCATTCATAATATCCTTGTCCAAGTCCTTTCTTTTTAATAAAGATAAGCAATAGTCAAGAAGTTGAGTTCGCGATTCTGCTTTAATAAAACTCAACTCGTTTAAAGAAACATTAATGTCTTTTGATTCATCAGGTTTTGTAACTAATTCTGTGCTAACTGGTTCTTCCGATAAAGAAATAAACGCTTCAATAACTAACAAAGCAGGTGCAATCCATTTTGGTAAAGGATTCTCTAAAGGCAATCCTGATTGTTCAGAAATCATAGATATCATATCAGAAAATATATTAAAAGGTAAGTTCGGAATTTTTCCTTGTATACTATTCTCATTCAATAAAAGAGCCAAAAGGCGTAAACGAGAATTAAGTGCTTTTTTGCGCTGTTCGTCAGGATGACTACGAACTGTTTCAATACTTTTTATTATTAATTCAATGTTCTGTTCAGCATCATCTTTGCTAAGAAGTACAAACAAGTCTTTCACTTCAAAAATAATGTCCTCAACTGCATCAAGAAGTTCAATTGCACGAGCTGCTGAAGTAGACCTCAGCTTATCTCTAAGAGCCTTGAAATGATCTATATAATCAACTTCTTTCCCTTTACCTTTGTCTGGTTTCGTTGATACGGTTTCAGTCTCCATAGGGATTGAGCCATCGTTCGTAACGGTACCTTCTACAGGAGTTTGATTTCCTTGCATTGATAATGCAAGAGCTTGAGCTAAATCATTGGACCCCTCATCTTCATTGTCAGATACGTCATCGTCATCGTCGTCATCATCTCCAGATGTACCAGTCACATCAATTGTAGATCCCGCATCAGTGGGTGCATTACCTCTTGTTGAGGTTGTATCAGACGGATTCCGACCTGCTTCGGTCGATGATGCTGCTGAGAAAACCGTTGCTGCAATAGTTTGAGGATGCGTTACCAAATAATCAGCAGCAGCCTGAACATGATTATTGCAACGTATAAGTGCAGCTTCAGCTGATGAACGCTGGAAGCCCATTTCAATCAATTGTTGAACTCGTTCTTCATCAGGTGCCAACGATCTTGTAGCACCAAACAGTGTAGAAGTAGGTGCTGTTAATCCACTTGATGATCCTGATCCTGATCCTTCAGGACGTTGATTAACTTCTCCATCCGCCTTTAAAATCTGAACTAAATTTTGAAGAACAGATCGAACAATATTTGGTGGAGCTCTAGGAAGATAGGCACTTTGCCAAAGTTCATTTATTACAGGAAGAATTTTTGCTCGAACGTTCAAAAGAAAATTAAAAGGATCAAATGGCTCAACACGTGGATCTCTGTCTTTTGTCGTTAGTGGTACTGTTTGGGGTGACTCATGCAATAATTTTGATGATCCAACGAACTGAAAAAAATTTAATGTGACATCTATGCATCCATGAATTCGTGAAAGCCTTTCTTTAGAACCTTCATCAACTTCAATTGTAGAATATTCTTCAAGGACTTTAATTCCCTCAGCTTCTTCCCAAAATTGGCGTAAGAGTTTAAATACAACTTCCAAGCCATTAACTCGATCAAAAGAAACAACAAGCATTGTTTGAAGTGATACTTGACTCCGTTCTAGAATTAAAAAAAAGTGTCATTTTATGCCGATAAAACAATAACTGCCAGCAGTGCGCCATCAATTTACCGTCCAGGAAAAGTAGAGATAATAATCCGAGCATTATCGTAAGATAATTATATTTATTTGTAGAATCAGTTTCGCTATCGAGTTCTAAAACAAACAGAAAAGTAAGAAAAATGTGATAATAAATTGATTTAAAAACAAACATACAGTACCATATCGCGGCCAAGTCAAATGATCCCGTAGAACCTCAGCAATAGCATCTGAAATTTTGAAAGCTTGCTTTTTCTGCGAAGCGTCGGGTGATTTTCGACTAAACAGCATTTTTGCTAAACCTAATGTGATCGATAAAATTCATTCAACATAAAGTTCTGAAATAACCGTAACGTACATTACAACTAAGTACAACGTTAATAATTTACCTTGGAATAAAGGAGTAAGACAAGAAGGAATTTGTGAAACCAAAAACTTTAGACATTTGGCATTTTTTACTTTACGATCATTTTGGTCAACTGGTGGTTCATTTGAATCTGCAACATCTTTATCCGCGTCGTCTAATAACGCAGATGCTATGCTTGACGATGATTCAGGAAAATGTGAAGGTTTCTTCGTTTTTGATGGAAGATTATACCAAGATTTTGGAACTGATGATTTCAAAATAACATTTTCCCAGACACAAACTCTATAAAAACAAACATCGACAATGTTAAGAATGATCTAAATATCAATTTCTCATATTAAGGAACGTAAGGACTACCGATGGAGTTTTCCAAGAGTTGGTAATACATCATTGTCAGTTCCAATAAATGCATCAATCACTGATGATGCACTTTTGCCGTGTGAAAATACAGGTGTACAATACACGTCAGAAAGTAATCCAACGTATCCGTGAAGAGTAATTAAGGTCCTAAACGTGCTATTTGCTTCTTCGATTTTTGCTACATCACTTTCTATAAAGAAGCACGATGTTTAATCTGTATATATTTCGTACTACATATATATATATGATAATAAATTTAATACTACCTTTTAGATCAACATATTCTGATAGAATGCCTTTTCCTTCATACGATAGGAAACTTGTCGCTCCCTGGAGTGTTTCATTGAGGGCACCGACAATTGCAGAAATGCTTCGTTTTGGATCAACATCTGCAATAACTCTCATTAAATGTGAAAGAGAATATGATGCTTGAGAACAGCCAAATTCATAAGGCAAAACCGGCAGCGCATAAAACTTTAAAATTATATTGAGTCCGTTTTCCTGTTTTAAAAATTCTTTACAATGATTTTGTGTTTGAAAAAGACCTTCCAAAAACTAAACACAATAATGTTATATTAGTAAAAGTTAAATGAGAAATAACCCAATTTAAAATTAAATACATACTCGTGCCGCAATTTCAATAAATGCTACAACTGTGTTCTCTTTCTTCTCATCTGTTTTATTTTCATCAGCTTTAGTATTATCTGAATCAGTCATTTTTGTATCAATTGATCCCTCTACCCCTGAAATTTCTGAATTAATTTGGTCATCATCACTACCAGCGTGTAATATACTTGCACTGTCTTTAATTGGCGAGTTATGGCCAAGTTCAATAATGCGTTGAAGGGTGGTCATTATTGCATTCATGATACATTGCTTTAAGCTTGGATGATGTCGCATCAATTCATCGATTGAAGTTCCCAAAACTGATGCAACATCCGAGTCTTGAAGTGAGCGCAAATGTTCATCCGATGTAAAAATAGTAAAGAATTTGTCTATTGGATTCATCTGGTTAAAAATTTCCATTCCTTGAGCATTTAAGCAAATAGCACCAAATGCATTCGGGATTGATTGAATCGCCTATAAAAACAATCGGGCATTAATAATTTGTGCTTATTAAAATTATACTTTAAATGTCGCTTAACTCACATCAACGGAAGCAGGAATCTCCTTAGAAATAGAGTTTAAAAATGTTTGTGGAAGTCTAGCCTCCTGCATAATCGGAAGCGATGTGGGTTCGTTATGTATGAACGTAGCAATCAAATTGATGGCTGTATAAAGAAATAAAGTATAAATAAATAGCAATAAAATGAAGCGTAGCAATGTATTCCGAGAAATAAATCAAATAAATACCAAGTGCATATATGCTGCTACCAAACACATTTGGCTGTTCAAAGACTTTTTTCAACGAATCTGGCAGTGAAGTGTCGATAAGATTGCGTAGGCCGTCTGCAGTACCAGAGGATTGCATCATGTGTAAAACGAACTTAAACATTGATTTTAGCAATGACGCCCGTTCATATGGAAGGGAAACATCATTTTCAATAGCGACAGAAGAAATAAACTCTTCGCCTAATAAATGGTGAAAAATTAGTTGCAAGCTTAAAAAATTCAATAATACCGACTTTGCATGTAATACCTTCTGAAGATGGTCCAGCTGATGCAGATGAATTTGCGATCGTGATACCTTCCATTTGACTGTCTCGAGCCTCTTTGGCAAGTCGTATACCATTATCAACTTCTTCCTATTAAATAATAATATATATCTAGTTAACATCATTGACTAATATAATATTAAAGCCATTTAATCTATAACTTACCTTAATTCTATCAACTAGTACACGGACGCCATTAGCATTACAAAATGAAGTAAACGATGTATTGAATCCATAGACAAGACTGTCCAGGATACCAACTGCTTTTGTCACGTTCTATTAAATGTTGTATAAAAGCTTTTAGGCGAACGCTTATTATATTTGTTAAAGTTAATTAAAACTTACCTTTAATTGGTGTGGATTCTTATTGTTAAGTAACTGCAAAAGTGTCGGAACGATTCCGGCTGATATAACCATCGTTCCACCGGTTTGTGTAGTAATGATGTAAGATATTAATGCAAAGAGTGCATCGTAGTATTCCTGAGGATATATAGCTAAACGAGCGAATATTATAACAATTAATATTTGGTACATTTCAGTGTTACTATCAAAGTATTAAGAAAGTCTGAATAAAATACTAACGATTATCACGCTCTAGATCCGCTATAACCCTTCTTAAAACGTAAAGAAGAATGCCATGGTTTGCAGAGGCATTTATAGCCGTTAAAACTTCACCAAGCTTCGATCGATATCTACTAATCCCATCCAAAGCGTAAAGCGCAACCGTTTGAATATCCTATAAGGTCGTTGAACGCATGTCAGCGCATATCGTAGATTTGAAAATTTTAATAAAAACGGTATACATACAAATGGTACGTTTCGATCTGGGTGAACTAGCTTGGCAAGGTTTGCAACAATATCAGGTTCATATAAGAACAATTTGGATTGGGCAACGTGTTCAGGGATAACGTGTGCTAAAAATAAAAATACAAATAAAATGAAATAAATAAACACCTATAATCATAAATGCTCACTTATAAATAGCAGTCATATGCAAACAGAACGTGAATATACGTACCCATGATGGCAACAGCAAGTAATCTTATTATTAAAAGTCTTCGTCTGGTATCGGTTGATGAAATACTGGTGACAATTCTAATCCGATTCAGAAGGGCAAAGTGAAATTCTTCAGGAATATTATATTCCTGAACAACATGATTTAAAATGTTCATATCTGTATCTCCCAGTTGACGAACGTTATTAACAGATATTAAAGTGACGCCTTCTCCAGCTTTGGTCCCACTTGAACTTGATGCACTATCTTTTCTCTGACTTTTTTGAGATTGAGTAGGAGTGGTAGCATCACTTTTCTTGTCACCAGTAGTTTCAGCAGCTTCCGATGGGGTTAGATGTCGATAAAACTGATAATTTAAAGTAGTCAGCTCTTCTGGAATAGTTACATCATCAGATGCAAGATGTTCCATTTCAAGATCGTATTCTTTTGTGCCCCAACAATGAGCCAACGTTAAAATGCGCTCAGGAGAAATGGTAAAATTTGTGCGAAGCGCTCGCTGATTACTGAGTCGTTGTGCAGGTCGGAGAATCAAACGCAACAAAACCTCTAAAACATCCAACTCACTTGTATATAACAAGTCATTGAGATGCTGATTGATAAATTATAATTTTTAATGAGAATGGCCTTAATATAATTTGGAATTTGTTGAACTGAATAACATTTTAATTAGCATACCTCGTAAGAACTGTACAAATTTCTATTCGTGCAGTTTTCCAACAACACCCGCGAAAATTTCAATATTGCCACTAATACGACACGAGCTCCCTCTGAGAATTTTGATGTTTGCAATTTCTTCAAATTATAATTTTTACAGATATTTTCGAGCATAGTATCAAACCGATTCAGAACGCCGATCCAATGAAAGAGATCTCCCCGTGGATAGCTCCAGTCGATAGCAGACTCTACTATTCTTGGTATTTCTTCTTCGTGACATTCGCTGAGTTTTTGTATAAGATTTTTGATCGGTGGTATCTATATAATTTGGTTAAGACAAATTGCGAAATAATTGTCAGTATATTCCGATAAATTAGTATTTGTACTTAAAAAAATATTTTTAGGCATATAGTTAGTATATTTAGTATATATTTGTGACATAAATAGTGCGCCGTTGAGTATCGAAAAAAAAATTTGATCACACTAATTATCATAATTACGCTAGCTTACTAGTGGCGTGTCTTTATATAAAACCTCTATCTTACATATACAAATGACATTAAGGATAAAAAAATAATCGATTGAATTTGTCCCTACTTCGTAGGGACAAGATTTACTAACCGGTGCCACCAATTTCTTTGGCGGAGATTTCTTAATTTTCATTATACTGCTTGATCAAGCAGACTGCAAATGTGAATATGTTAATTTAAGACTTTCTGAGTATCGTCAAACGACTTTTGTCAAGCGTATTCGTGGAAAGCGAAAGAAACTGTCAGAAGGTAATTTGAGGAATTAGTTTCCCAGCTTGAGAGAACAGTCGATTAAGAGCAATGGTTGATTGAAATTGGCTTGTAGCAAGTTTATATAAGGTAATTGCTTAGGTGACATCATAGATATTGTTATAGGTAAATGATACGCTTACGTACCCTTGTAACATTCAAATCTAGAAACTAAAGCGGAATCTCGGAGTTATATGTAATTCTAGTCATATAAATCTCTATTTTTTTATAATTCCAGCTAATGTTAATAACCATCACCGCTTTTTTATTATCTTAAAAAAAAATAGCATCAATTTATTGAATTTAATTATTTACGTACACACGTACGAATATTAAAGGACAGACTTGTAAATACATTTATTAACTGTTAAAAAGAAAAAAAACTGTGACGCGTGACACTTAAAGACTACGCAAATCTCGATGATTGATCAGCTTGTATCTGAACCAATTTAATTGTTCTTGTTATAAAGTTTAAGAGGTAAATTGCGGCTAAAGGGTATAAAATAGTAAATTTAATAGTATAATTGTCGGAAGTTAATATAGCTTGTCTATGGCAACTAGCTACATACAATTAGCCGTTTTTAAATGTCATGGATGATTATGAAATTTTGTGTATGAATTTTAAAAATTTTGGGGCCTTTTTTGTCAGCTTTTTTTTTATAGCTGAGTTGGGAATTATTAATAAAAGTTTATAGGTGGATTTTGGTAGGGCTTATATTTTCAAATTGAGACCCTAAATTTCACAATGATCCGATTTCACAATCATCCGTGACAATTAATATATATCATTACCAAAATTTGAAAATTTTGAGATTTTGACTGAGATTATTAAGTTATGATGTGTCATTTAATAAATTCCTATGTCCAATGGGATGCGTTGGGGTGGGAAGATGTGTTAGCATGTGAGGAAAATGGGTTAGACTCGTTATCAGAAGTCTGAGATGATTGTTTAATATATAATTTGGGGACCAAATGATTGGATTTGGTGACCAATTGTTCGCTTAATTTTGTTAACACACCATAATGTAATTGAGGCTGATGCTGAAATTTGAACCTATTTTAATATGAAATTTTAAAATCTTTTGAAGCGTTTTTTGTTTTTTTTTTAGAATTGATAAATAAAATGTATATGTTGTAAGTGGAAACAGACTTTAAGTGGATTCGGAATTTTTATATTAAAGCATCATTTTGAGGTTGATTTTATCATATATATGTTGTAAGTGGGAATGGGATTTAAGTGGGGTTATAGTTAGGGCTGTGATAGCTTTAATGCAAGTAGTATCTGCATGTTTAAGCATTTCATAGCTAATATCTGTAGATCTACAAGCTTTTTCATTCAGAAGTTGTAACAAAGTTTGAAAAACTTCATCTTCTGTAATAGGAAAGTTAAAAGAGTTGTACCATTAGGTGTTGATATGTGATTGTAGTTGATAATATGTATATCAGAAGCTGTTAAACAGTACTTGGTCAATTGGTCAATATGTAGTCCAATCATAGAAATAAGATTGTATATGCTGTTTTATGAGTTTGGGGTTTATAATAAGTTGGTCAGGAAGTTTAATATTGGAAAAGTAAATAGGAGCTTTGTATTGATTAAGAATACTGTTAATAGATTGTTTGGATGTATTGAAAGTGTTTTACATCTCTTTTCAGTTGCTTGTTGGATTTGTTGACAAAGTAGTAGTAAGTTTTCTGTATGATGAGCATGATAAAGTTGTTTTTAGATATCTTGTGCATGTTGAATCCATGTATGAGTTTGAGAATTATCATCTGGATTAAAAGTTTAAAGGTCACAATAGGATCTATCATTAATAGTCTTGATCCTAGAGTTTATCATGTCTATGTTGAGATTGTTGTGAGTATTTTTAACAATTTTTATTAGATACCCAAGCTCTTTAAGTGATATATAGATTAAGGTAGAGTTAGAAGAATATTGATAATTGTAGCTACATTTGAGTTTTTTTGTTAAGAATAGAATGTATTGTAGTGTTAATTATTGAATGTTCAATCTTATGCCAAATAGTTTCAATGTTTTCATTGATATCACTATTGAGTAATGTATTGTAAAGACTAAAATTGTGAGAAAGAAGGTTAGAAAATTCTGTCCATTTTTCAGTTAACATAACTTTGTAATTGAAGATTTTGTGACTAATGCCAATATGATGATATGGAGGTTTGCTATTTGTATTAGTAAAAGTCTAGGTAGATATAAGGAATAGAATAGTCACTAAGTGTTGAGGTATTGCTATCATCAAGTTTGTATAAAAGAAAAAATTAAATATTAAATAAATTAGTTCAGATATAATCAATGTGGCTGTGGCTAGTATTATTTGACTATGTAAAGTGCTTGTTATCAATATGTACACCAAGATCAAACATGTTGGAATAGTGTAAATAATTAATAAGTTTAAATTTAGATGAAGAGCTACAAGTATTATCATATGTATTAAAGTCTTTAAGTATTATTGAATAAAGATTGTGTTGAAGAGCTTGTTGGATCCATGTAATAACAGTATTTTGTATATTGTTGTGTTTTTGCATATTAGTAAAAGAAAGGTAGACAGCTATAATTCAGAGTTTAATTTCACTTTTGAAAAATAAATCTAAAACAATTGCTTCATCAGAATGTGTTTGGCAGTTGTATATGTGTGATTGTAAGTGTTTTTGAATCATAATAGCAGTACCTTCTGCTGAACTTTTTAAATTGGCCTAAAAGTAGATGAATAAGTTGTTATTGTAAAATTGAAGATTAGTACTGTTAACAATTTTGGTTTCAGTAATATAAGAGATATAGATATTATTATGAAGACAATAATTTTATCAAGTTTTTCTTTTAGTTACTATATTATAACCTCTAATATTGTATATACAAATATTTAAATGAAGATCATGTAAAGTTTGTATAAATGTGAATACTTGTGATGTTGTATGACTATTAAGAAATAAATCAGATGAAATATAGTAAAATTAGAGGAATTTGATCTGAGAGAAAGATTATAAAAGATAGAAAGAAGATAAGAATAAATAACAGTATAATTAGGTAAAAGAAAGCTATTTGGAAGATATATATGAGTTTTTATTATATGTATTGCTAACAGAGAAAGTGATGCTAGAGACAGTATTATTATAGTTATATTTGTTAATATGTTGTAAAAGAGATTGAATGGTTTGATTATAAGAAAAAAGTAGTAAGTTGTAATAAAGAAAGAATTTGTTGAAACATGTATGAAGATCATAAGAGCTTAAAGATGTTGAGAATAATCTTCTGAGATTGTCTTCTACAGGGTCGATTACTATATGCTCAGCTCTTACTGCTATGCAAGGTACCAAAGTCTGCTCTGTGTGTTGGGTCTGATCTTGGCCTTTCACATATAGAGGCTTAACTGTCTGCCTCCATATGTTATTCTCCTTATTAACTACAATTGGTTGTATCTTTTAGTAAAATGGCAGCTGCATTTATGTATTTATAGAAGACAACTGATTTGTGTATGTTTTTGTTTATTGTTTATGTAGTGATAATGCTAGATAAACTATGCAATTCCTATTCTGCATATTTATACTAACCCTTATATAGTTTTATCTTGTGTTTACACTAACTATTTTACAATATTCAGAGGTATATTTATGTATATTAGCTTGTATCCCTCTATATTCCTAATCAGAAACTCCTTACAGTTATGAGCTTTTAGGTATAGACACCATACTTAGGACTTTTCAAGTGGTTTTTCTAATTAGTGTTCTTGTGAATTTCCCAACACAGATTTACTGTAATCTAATATGAATTTATCTTGTATTTATACTAACTATTTTATAATATTCAAGTGTACATATATATATATTAGCTTGTATTCCATTATATTCCTAATCAGAACAAACTTCTTGCAGTTATTTGCTTTCAGATATAGACATCATAACATGGATTACTGCAGATCTGTTACCAACTTTACTTGGTTTCATATCACAAATTACAATCAATAAGCCAACATTTCTAATTAAGTCAATATATCAATTAAGGCATACAAGATTTTTTAATTTTCAATATTCATCATCAATAAAAATTGAATCTTAAACCTTGTTACTTGGGGTGCAACAACTTGACCACTTCACTAAGTTGTTACACTCTTTTTAAAATTCTTAATAATTATTAAATTAATTTAATAATTTATAATAATTGGAATAGAGTTTTATAGTCTAGTAGTCTTGATGCCCCTCTTTCTACAAACAAGATTGACAGTTCAATTCTAGCTGGAGGCAAAACTCTGTAATCTACAAAAGCATATTAATGTACACAAAGCTCTATAGCTAAGTCTATGTAATTATAAGATCAGTATATAAGAAAGTTCCCTAAAAGAAGTTTCCAATATAGAGAGTTGATGCTCAATGTGAGAGATGCAATGAATATACCAGAAATGAAAAGAAGGCACACTAGTAGATGATATAGTAAACATAAAAAAAAACTATAGAAAAAAAATAAACTTACTAAAATTTGAATACTTCTAGCATTAAAACTAGTTTAGGAAATATGAAATATACTAAATTAGATCTAAGTAGTAATCTTAGTACCAGCTTAGTAAGCTTGTGTTAAAAGTAAATTTGAAGAAATATAAATACTTAGTAATATCTAATAAGGTAGTACTTTGATATAAATAGTAATTAAGATAGCTCTAACCTGATATATCACTATAATAGTAATGTAAATATTGCATATATATGTAAACATAAGTATTAAAAATTAGAAAGTTTAAATAGAAGATCTACAAACAGGTCTTAGATATGGAATCTAGTATATAACCTATAGGCAGAACTCTTAATTAGATAATGACTAAAGTTATATATATGGCTAGTTGTATTTTTGTTGATATACTTTGTATATAAAAGTGTAAT